TTATTTCTCTGGAATTCTGGCATGGAAGATTTTGCTTTCCCATAAATTTTTCAGTCCCAATTAGTACAATTTAGGCATCAGATAACTAGTAGGTTTTTATAATGTGAATTATTTTTGACAGCATAAGAAAGTCAAAATATGACTAAATGTATTTAAATATATTAACATGAAAATGGGGGGGTTATATGCTAGAATCCAATGAACATGTCATGATACTGATTAAATAAGCACATATCATTTCAGTTTATCTTCTAGAATGCAAGGAGGGAAAAGGAGTGGATTACAGAGGAACAGAAGCCAAAACTCAGAAAGGTGTGCGATGCCAGAAGTGGGCTGATAATTCCCCACATAAACCAAAGTAAGGCCTTTTAATATCTGTTTATATATTTTTCTGAAACATTGTTAAGCCATGCATATGTGCTAATTAGTCTTGTAAGCAATTTGTTTGGTATTAGAAATCTTCTTATAAAATATTTTTGTACCTATCTAGAATAAGATATTTCTCTAATCTGAGTTGTAACTCAGAGACCTCCAAGTGGTGCTACATGATCAATAGAGACATTGTCAGCCTTGGCAGTTGCATTTAAATTTTGTGGTCCTTACATGAGCAAAATACCAGATAGGCAAGCATGTGGTTCTGCTGAAATAAGAATTTACCATTAATCTCACCAGGACTTCTCTCTTCGCCATAGGTATAACATGTGGCAGATGGGATAGAAGTACATAATTTTACCAGTGAATCCACAATTAACATGGTAGTATTTCTTGCATTTAATGAAAAACACCTAATTGGTTTTATTTAGTAACATTCTATTCAGAATTTATAGTATTCAGACTACAGAGGACTCTCACATTCAGCAAATATCTTCTCCTTGCATCTCCCAGGGAACATGTCCCAGAGGAAACTATTCACTACACGCTACATGGTATCTTGACTGAGCAGTAATTGCTGGAAACCAAATAGTTAAAGTAAATGCAAGTATTAAAGACATGACTGGCCTTAGAGCCACTGTATTTCCTGAGGTCTATTGCTATGACACTTCTAACTCTTCAGCAATGGCACACATTAACAATTAAGAGACCTCTAAACACCAAGATCTACAAAACAGTCCTCAGATAAAGATTTAGTTTTTAGAGTTCTCAGCTGAAGAATTGGGACACTTGCCTTATTCTGTAATCCCATTTAATTCTGTTCTAGTTATACCCCTGAAAAGTATCCCAATGCAGGACTGGAAGAAAACTACTGCAGAAACCCCGATAACGACGAAAAGGGACCCTGGTGTTACACAACAGACCCTGATACCAGATTTGATTACTGTAACATCCCTGAGTGTGAAGGTCAGAGTACACATACTAACTTCTTTCCATTTTTGCAAGATGTGTTTTCAAGAATGTGAAGTTACTCAGATACTTTTAGTTTTAATTGAATATTTGTTCCAAACTTGAGTTTAGTTCAAACTGAAACTTTCCAAAGACATTTTCGACACCAAGAAGGAAGATATCAAAAGACTCTCAAAATAGCTATTCAAAATCTTTTTTTTCCCTAGATAAAAAAATGGTATATGAGTGTAGTCACATATCATAGTCTTAGAATTCAACCACATGACAGTTGCTAGTGCAAAACTCAACAAAACATGACAGTAGCAAGGCATAGATTTTAAAATACCACTTAGTAGTTTAAATTCAGCTCTTTTAAAAACTATAGTCTATTATGTTGACTTTTTTTAAATGAAGAAGTATAAATGTAATCAACTAGCTAAAGGCATTTTACCAAGGAAAATAAGCTTTTAATTTTCAAAAAAAAAGACTGTTCTTCAGCTTTGTGCTCTGCTCAGGCTCTTGAGCTTCATGTCAGATGAGTATGACTGTTTATGGACCAATTCCTCCAGGGCTTTCTGTTTCTCTTGCTCTCATTCTGCATTGTTCCTACAGTAGAGTGCATGCACTGCAGTGGAGAAAACTATCATGGAGTAGTTTCAACAACAGAGTCTGGGCTTGAGTGCCAGCGCTGGGACTCCCAGAAACCTCACTCTCATGGATACCTCCCAGAAAAGTGAGTCTGATTCTGTGATGGTCTATTTATTGTTCATAGTGGTCTGAAGACCACCCTGAACCTGACAGAATAATTGTTACAGCCATTAGTGACATATCTTAAAACTTATTTTTCCTGTTCAGTTTTCCAGAGAAGGATCTAAAGATGAATTATTGCCGTAATCCCGATGGTGAACCTCGACCCTGGTGTTTCACTACCAGCCCAACTAAACGCTGGGAATATTGTGACATTCCTCGTTGCAGTGAGTCTGACTTCTAGACTTCTAGATACAATTACATCTAGATACAAAGAAATCTAGACAGCTTCGAATCAGGGTGGTGCAAGGACCTAGAACAAACAGAAGAGGCTCAAAGATAAAGGAAAGAATAAAAGACTGCTGAATTTTCTCAACAGTGAATTCTTTCAGTGAATTAATCACCTTGAAATGAACCTTTGATAGCTCTTTTGAGGCTAGACTTTTTTGTCACAGGTATTTCTAATGGTTTTGCATGGTCACATTTCCCTTCCTTGATGTGTTTTTCCATGACCAGGCATTTCAGCAGTTCTGGTGTTTCTTCTTGGTATTCCTCTTTTCAACAGCTTCACTCTTCCTGAAAATCCTTTGGCTTCTGTTTTGCTCTTCCAAATCAATTCTCCACCTTTTCAGTTCTCTTTTTCTCTAAAGGCCTGTGGCTTGCCATGATACTTTTCCTTGGGACTTCTCACCAGACCTCATCCTTTCTGTCTCTCACTACTTAAGAGTACTTCTCTTTTACATCTGTACCTACATCTGTATGTATCACTGATGGGCCTGCCCCTTTCACCCCAGTTTTCTTCACAGTATTACCACTTGCTTACTTTCCAGCTGTGTTCTGATGGGGCTGCTGGCACTTTTATATCCTGGCTTTTGTATCCTGTAATGTATCTGGCTCTGTAATGTATCTCCTGTAAAGGGGCAGATGCAAATGGTCTTCTGGTCACTGGACTGCTTGTGAAGAAGTTAAATGGGAGAATGAAAAGTTAGGAAATATATCTTTAGATCTTTTCTCTGCCTTTTGGGCTTTTCAAATATTGTGATATTTAAACTTGCAAAGAAAGCTAAAAAGCCCATGTAATTATAAAGTTCAAAGTGTTTTGGTTAGTTGCTTTGGGTTTTTTGCTGTCTAGAAGGCACTGATTAATTTTAGTTCATTTTTCTGTAATAGCAAC